ATGGATGGGTGACCCATTCAGAGAAACAAAAGATAAGAACTATGTGCCTGTTGACTCCAAAAAGTCAGTAAAAAGATGTGACTTCTTTGATAGTATTGAATAAGTGTGAAGAAATGTTCAAAGAGAAATGACTCGAACCCATAAAAGAAAGAGTAAAAGGTAAAAGAACTAAAATTTGAGACTCCCAAAAGTCAAAATGCAGTTAAATATGTTAACATTTTCTAATTATTGTAAATTTTAATCAAATAAATATTATTCTTTCTAGTTATTATTTGATTTATATGTAAGGCAGAAGAAGTAGTTGTTTTTTTTTTTTACAATGAATAAGCATAAAATTGATGACAAGAAATGTTATTGTTCTATTGTTATATAAATTTCTGGTCTTTTCTAGCTATCAAATGGTGTCAATCTTAAAATTTTTAAAATACTGATATTGTATTATAAAACATTCTATTTTTTTTTTTAATATAATTATAATTTTATATTAATTTAATATTATATTATTGTATTATTTATATTATTTAATTTAATATTATAATTGTAATATATATTATAATTTGAATTTTTATTTTTCGGACTTATTAAACGACTCATATGAAGAAAAATAAAACGTTTTATAATTGTGACCAAATGAATAGAGATGTTTTTACAATTAATCGTACAATTATACCGACGTAGATACGTGTATTCGATACACACATGTATTATTCATATATTAATTCAAGATCGTAGTAAATCGTGGGCGCATGTGTAGATGAGAAATTGAAAACTGGTTTCGGGTTTGCATCTTACAAGGATGAGACGAACCAGAATCGAGACGTCACTCACTCAGATCAATCTCTCTCTTTCTCTTTTTCTTTTTCTTTTTCTGTTTCTGTTCAACACAGTCGATAAGAACGAATCCTTCGAGATAAGACGTCAGTTTGAAGAGTATCTTCTATGAAATATGCGTGGGAGCGATAACCGCGTAAAAAAAAAAAAACACAAAAAAAGAGAAAAAAAAGAGAGAGAGAGAGATCATTCGTGTTAACACTCTTCGAATTTTATGTGTATCTTCCGTTAGGTGTTTCTCTTTACGATAGAAATAAAAAAACAAGACTTTTAGACGAATGAAAAGTTCTATCGAATACAGGCATCATGAAATTATTAAAAAGATGGAAATTTTCTAATATAACAAAATACTCAATATATTAAAAAAAAGTTTATTCTTTGTAGAAAAAAATAAATTTTTAATTTATTAAAAATTACTAATACTGTTTTTAATTTATATAAACGAACACATTTTTTTCTATCATCAACAGTTTCGAAGATATTTAGGCAAATTGATTTAAATGAGACACCATATATGTATATATATATTTACTTATTCTTAGTAAATATTTCTAATCTAACATAAAAGTTTATATTTGATATTTTCTATATTAAACTAAAAACTGATAAAAAAAAAATATTAGTAATGTGTTGCTTCCGTTACATAATATCTGAATGCAAGTAGAAAGATCTAATACTTCGTATCGTTTCTCACGAATCTAATCTGGAGGGAGGGACAGATAACATTTTAAATGAAATATACCTATCAAGTCTGTCTATGGGGATTTCAGGATAAAAAGAAGAAGAAGAAAGATATGGAAGGAGTGTAGTATAAGGTACAGGAAAAGAAGAAAGGTAGGTTAGGTTTGTTCATAATGAAAAATGGCGTAATTACTACGCTTGATGATCGATGATATAAAAACAAAATGAAATGGGGGAAATGAAGAAAGGGGTAAAGAAAGAAAAAGAAAGATAAAGAAAGAGAAAGAGAGAGTATGTGTGGCAGGAAGTGGCTAATGCTAACGGATACTGTCCTCGATACACCTATGTGCGTTAATGCCATAATCCTATTACGATACTGAAATGCTCCTATAATGCCACATGCCCCATAGGCTAGAAAGAGATTAGGATCATACAAGTCATGAGAATCGAGTCTCGTTTATAACCGTCGTCTATTTAACCCATACGATGAAAATCATAAAAATATCTAAATATTTCTATATGCGTACATGTGTAATACATACAGTGATAAAAAAAAAAGTATTGGCACAGATTCAATTCTGTTTATAACATCTCTTGTAAATCTTTTACAAGTATAATAATTCATTTGAAATTTTTAAAAAATATATTATACAGGGTGATTCTTGGAACGGAGGCGGGTAATAATTTTTTTTTAAGTAACAATAGAAAAAAATCATAAAGGAAAAAGTTATATGGCACAACAAATGTCAACTTTCTATGACATTACTTTTTTTGAAAATGCATCGATGCACCTGCTAGATGCAGTTGCACTTTTTTTTTTAAATGGAACTTTATTTTTTTTTTACACTTTTCGATTCCTTTTTTTATTCTGCGTTAAAAAGTATTAAGTGAAGGTCATCGAAATGTCAATAGTTTACGAGATATAAGCAACGTTGATTAAATTGGTATATAATAAAATAATATAGTTTTTAATAATTAATAATCGATTCTAATTAAAAATAAGCTTGTAAATGTATAATACTTCTTTTATTTTTGTTTGTAAAATATATCTTTCAAATTTTAATTTTCTAAATTTTTTTATTCACCATGCAGGGTGTTTTAACTAAATAGAATATTATTTTTAAATTATTTAAAATTATTAATTTTAATAAAAATTTAATAAATAATAAATATAATTTTATTATTATTATTATTATTATTATTATTATTAAATTATTAAAATTTTAAATTAAGTTATTTAAATAACTTTTTTGTTTACAATTATATGAAAAAAGTTGTTAAATTAATTTTTTCATATTTTACAATAATATTATGAAAAATATATAAAAGGTTCCAATACAAAGCTAGATAAGATATTTTTTAACTATCAAATTTCATCTTTGTTATAGTACAACTTTTTTTCTTAAAAATTTTGGAATTCAATTGTAAACAAAGATAAGATATTTAGGTGATACCATTTAGCTAAGATGCCCTGTATAAATAATGATAGAAATAAGAAATATCATTTTCCAGCTACGACTCGAAAAATCTTTAAAAAAAAATAATAAACCGAGTAGAAGATTTATATAATTGGAAATAAAATTAGAAATTCTAGTAATAAGTTATTATATCCCTTTGCAATAAATTAAATAGAAATGAATCAACAATTCGCACAATTAGAAAAAATCATATTTTTAATTATAAAATTTGTATTATTTAATTATTTATTTGATTATAAATTTTTCGTAAATTAATAAATAAATATATTTATTAATAATTTATATAATATATAATAAGTATATGTATATAAAATTATTTAAATTATTAAATATTAATAAAATAAAAATTATTTTATATAATATAATAAATAAATAAATTGACGTAAAACGTATATCTCGCATTTTACTGTATTCTAAAATTTCAAATTCATGAGATAAATTTTCAAAAAAAAAAAAATAAAATCCTATTATTTTTAACAATGCAAAAATTATCATAACAAAATAAAATTTACTAACAATATTACTATTCGATATTGTACGTAATATATAATCAAGTTATAGATCTTGAACGTCACGACGGATTATTGATTTATATTCAAAGATCTATGGATCTAAGATCTACAATGAAATTCTTTGTTGAATTAAATCTAACATTTTGCTAATAATTCGCAATAGATACTTGTTTGATAGTTCAATTTAGATTATTTCAATCTCTGTTCGAGTCTCTCTTTTTGTTTCAATGTTCCTGTATTAAATCGATTGAAAGTCCGACAGCAAATCGATCCCACTTTCTCAATACGATGACCATATCGTTGTCGATTGACTTTCTTACAAGTGTACGAGGTCGTTGTTGAATTAATCGCTAGAAATATATCTTTCTCTTTTTCTCATTTAATCGTTCAGTTATTTTATTAAACACATATAGGTATATACGTATACAATACATACTTGTTCATGCATATGCAACGAAAGAAGAAAAATAAAAAATAATTCAAAATAACGAACGACAAAACTAACATTTATCGGATCTAATCTAATTTTTAATTAGTATTTTAAATAAATAATCAGAATTTATAATAAAGTATTAATGTGTAATAATATAGACTGTAATATAAGTTATAATTAATACAATATGATATTTTTTTATTTACACTGAACAAAATATTCATAACATTTCATATATATATTAATTATAATACTTATTAATATAATTTAATATTTTTAATTCTAATTGCACAAATGATAAGTAAATAATTAGGAAAAAATTTGCCTCGATAAAATATTTAATTTAAAAATTTAATTTAAATATTTAATTTTATAAATCGATTTAAATATTAAATTATTAAAAAAATAAAAATCTATTTAAACAAAATATTACTAATATACCTATTTATACTAATAGTAAAAGACAAAACAGCAATAAAATTAATAAAAAATTTGCTTAACGTAAACTAATAATCTCCTATTGTTTCAAGTTGGATTTTTTTTTTGTTTCTAATTAAGAAAAATAAAAAAAATAAGCACTGACATGAGTAAAAAAATATAAATAGAACGTAAATCATTTCTTCTTCATGCGATTACATACTTGAATAAACATTTACGATCCATTCTCTTGCAAAGCGTTACGAAGGAAGACAATGATAAAGATAAAGATGAAAATGAAGAGAAGAATAAATCCTTTCTACCAGTCGCAAGACCGTCATCCACGTCCAAGCTTATTCTCTCTCTCTCTATCTTTGTCTCCATCTCTTTCTTTTTAACAAGATAGTAAAACCATAACTAATTACACCTACGCGCACCTTAAGGACGCCTTCACGCGACTCGTTAAATCGTATCACGTGAAAAGGAGCGCCAAATATTCCTACGCTTTTTTTTTAATATAACACGACACGTTTTCTATTTAATTGTTTCGTTAACTTTTTACACGATTGTTCTTAATAAATATAATAAATAAATAAATATTAGAGATAATATTTATTTAATAGATATTAGAGACTGTAATTTACTTACCAGTGAAAATTATTCCAAGTCGTTTACAAATCTTCAACTTCCGTCAAGTTGTTGAAAACTTCCACGCTATCTTGCATGTTGTTGTTTACGTTCGACTTTGATTTTCATTATTTCGTATTTAACGTTTTTTATAATAAAATAATAAAAAAAACAAAAAAAAAACAAAAAAAAAACACCGCGAAGAAAAGTTTATCAAACAAATACAAAATACGCGTCACTTCATTTCACTGTGAATCTTTCATTCTTTGTTTGTCTTTTTATATTCCCACCTATTTATTTTTATTTCTTAAAGGATAAAAAATATCCTTAATTGTATATATATAATACACGTACATATATTTACGTGAGTAATTTTTTATTTTATTATCTTTCCTTTTCTCTTTTTTTTTTTTACAAAATCACGTGTTCAAATTTTTCCTTACGAGTGTTACAACGAAAAGTAGCGAAAACGATATCACGATATTGTATTAATACGAGTAATAAAAGATTTAGAAAAGGTGCTCTGGTTTGTTTACACGACGTGAAGAGTTATAGATGGGAGGGGAACAACGCAACCTTGACGATTCACACGATTTCGTAGTACTACTACACTCCGCCATCCGAAGACTGACTGAAGCCTCGTGACGGTGTGCGCCACGAGTACACCAGTTTACCACTCCGCCAACCACACTTCTTCTCTCCCTTCTCTCTCTTCTCTTTCTTTCACCAACTAGCCATAGCCACGCTTGTTTCCTCACTCTCTCTCTCTATTTCTTTTTCTCTCTCTCTCTCTCTCTCTATTTCTTTTTCTCTCTCTCTCTCTCTCTCTATTTCTTTTTCTCTCTCTCTCTCTCTCTCTTCTTTCTTTTTCTTTCTCTTTTTTCTGTAAGTACTTCTTTCTCTTTTTCTCTTTCTTTCTTTTTGTATTTTTCTCTTTTTCTTTCTTTCTATAATTCTTTTTCTCTCTTTCACATTCTACTTTTCTCATTCCTTCTCTCTATCTTTCTCTTTCTTTCTCTTTTCAAAGTCCATTTCTTTTTCTCTGTTTTTTTCTCTACTTTTTGTATTTTTTTTCTCTCATATTCTCTCTCTTTCTTTTTCTATCACACACTCTATCTTTCTCTCTCTGTTTCGCATTCTGTTCTATTTCTTTATTTCTATCTCACTCCTTCTCATATGTTACTCGTACAGCCTATGAAAGTAAAGGCGTATAGCCTATCTCGAGGGAGGAGAAGCACTTTGAAAGTTTCCCGCGGTCGCCGCTAGGTCGTCGCCACTCGCTGGCGCTACGATCGTATTTGCCAATAGTATCGTACGATCAAAATATAGTAAAAGATTATGGCGGTTATTTTAATTTAAAAACAATTATAAAGATTCTATTTATTAAATCGATAGTTTTAAACATTTAGAATCAGTATTTATATTAAAATATTGTTATATGATGGAATAAAATATTGTAATATGATGGAATATAATTAATTAAACGTTTAATATTTTCATTATTTTACATATTTCTAATCTATATTGTGATTGATATTCTGATTAAAGTAATATTTTAAAATTTATAAATAATAAATTGTAATATATATTCGTCTTATTATATCTTGTAAAAAAAATATAAGAAATATTAAAAAAAAAGAAATAGAATACTTAAAAAAAAAGGAAACCTCAACAAATATTATTGTATCTAATAAAAGAAGTAGAATCCTAGAAAAATCAACCCTTATCTATCCAGCCCTTCTTTCTTTATAAGAAAACAGTAGCTGTCATTCATCCGAAGGTTCGTCCTATTTCAAGGCTATAGCCTGTCAAGGACGATAGGTTTCCTCCACTGAGTCCACTCAATTGAGCTCCTTTTATTTCCATCTCACTTTTACTCCTCCTCCTCCTATCAGAAAGAAAGAGGGAGGGCAGAAAACATGATTACGCGTTTACGAGGTGGACCCACCTCGAGCTACTACCTGCCTTCATAAGAAAAATACGGGAATAGAAGGGAGAAAGGGTTCAAGGACGATAAGTAGAAGAGGCCGTTTACTATACGTATTGCGGGGTAAAGGAGATCGATGCGTACCATCTAAAAAAAAAAAACACAATAAAAAAGGACTCTCGTACGAGGAGATGCGGTTTGGTTCGTCCCGTATAATTCCGAATTCAGAACCTGTTTTTGGCCCGTGGGTCAACAACGAAACTTACTTCTGTCTCTTTTTATCCTGTTCTCTTTCTCTCTCAAATATCGACCTTACCACTCGTCGTACGAATTCCCTTAGCTCGTTGAGTGGCTCCTCTCGAACAGTAGTTACGCTACTTTCGACGGCTTTATGACTCTATTCTGCGTTCCAACGGGACGTTGAACAACTTCGAGCTACGGCATGCAAAGACTCTCGTAGCTACAACAAGAAGCAATAATAGCACGTGTCCTTGCATTTATCCACTTTCCTTCTACGATGTTGCGAGCTATCAAAGATACTGCACTTTTCAGGTGCATGTATGTATACCAGATCTATTTACATATATTTAGAATCTATAAAAGAAGGATTGGAAAATAAAATCAATAGAAAGTATAATATATTATATACAATAAGTTTCAGGAGTAATCATTTTTTTACTGCCAATTTTAAAATAATTAATATTTTCTTTTAATACAATATTTATATAAATTCTTATAATATTATTTTTAATTTATTTTAGATACAAATATTTATATTCAATCTTTTGATTTATTGTTCTAAAAATAAAATGTTCTTCTACAATAAAATTTATATGAATCCTAAAGGTTGAAAACCCTATAGAATAGGTTTCAGTGAATAAACATTATAAAAAGTTATTCATTACAGACAAATATTAATTATTTGAAATTTACAGTGAAAACAAGAACAAATACTCCTGTGACTTGATTATATGAATGTAAATTTATTAAAAGTCAATGTAATAGTAACATACACGTTTTTATTGTTAAAATAAAGTCATGAACGGTCTAGTAGAAGATAAGTATTTGAATGGATTGCATTCATCCTTCTCTTTCTCTTTCTTTCTTTATCCTTCTTTCAGATCCTCTTATCCTTAATCGGCTTCACGAAGCGCACGGGTCGTTACCGGGCACGAGCTAAAACCCTAAAGGGAGCACGGAACCAATGATTGTGTTCAGGATCGAACATATTGCGAGAAATAGAAGAACAAGAATATGATGAAGAAGAAGAACGTGTGATATATATATAATGAATTAAAAAAATATTCGAAGGGTCGCAATTAAAACTTTATATATCTAATAAAAATATTATTTAAGTTTTGAAATTAATGTTGCAATTATTATAGGACACAATTATTACAATTAAATTCTATGAACACCAAAAGTATTTGAATATTACAATATTACCAATTTCGTTGGTGATCATAATTCGCCAAATTGGATACACTAATTTAAATCGTTGAAAGTGTCAAAAATAAATAAATAGTCTATTATTAAAAATAATAACCTAGACGATTATTTTATAAGCAACCGAAATAGGAAGTTAGAAAGAAAATCTTACTATGGTGTCCAAACAAATATTATGGTTAACAAATATTATCCGATTCACCTCAAATAATCCTTACTTTTATAATTTAAACCTAAAATTCGTATTTTTATTATTCAAAGTTTCAATAGTGAATTACTTCTAATATAAATCACTTCAAAATAAGTAGCAATTACTCAGGGTTGCTTTTAATTCGCTGAAGTAAAAACAAAAAGATATATATGACTTTGTTTTCGAATTATACCCGATTTTGTATTATAAATACATGTCTTTAGATCATTTTTATACAAACTTTATGTTAAATTTATGCTTCTAAACGTCTTATCATTAAAAAAATATTGTTTAGAGAGTATAAAAGAAAGTCGTAAATGAGATAAGAAATTTTTCTAAAAATAGCTGAAACAAGTAATCATTAATGTTATATAAATTATAGATATACAAAAACAACTATAAATTAGAAATAAGATATTCAATCAGGCATATGATTGAATAAATTTTTTTATTTTCATTTTAGCATATTAAAAGTACCATTTTAGTTATGCTCATATATTTTGAAATGGCTTGTATATAATTGCTTATATTCATTTAACAATAATTCAATATTCAATGTTGAGTAACTCGTATATTAAACTAATTTCTTTCTAAAATACATATACACATTCCTACATATGTATTTATTATAACATATGTGTTCGACCATGCAAATATGATTCATGCTTGTCCATGAACAGAAGTGAACAGAACGGAATGGAATGGAATAAAACGAGGGAAAGATAATTGTTTTTTCACGATTCGTAGTGATAGTACTATCACATGGTTTCGTGACAGTATGTGTGCACATACTCGGAAGTTGATCATTTTGCAACCTGTATAAACAATTATATTCCTTAATTATTTTCGTATCGCAAATGCGGTGCAGACAAATGCGTAGACGTAAGTGTTAAGCTTCGTACAGTTTCAACGACAGAATATCAAACTAAGATAACCTAGCATGGCGAGAAGATATAGTGGTATTAGTGAAGTATAAAGAGTGTTGGTGCATTGCGCTGTGGAGCATTACAAGTTTCCGTGCAGTTGTATTCGCGTCGTTGATACGTAACCGCGTAAAAACACATAATCGAATCACTCTTTGCTTTTACCGGCAATCAATTTAAAAACTCATTCCACGAATTGTTTAATTCTCTCTTTATTGTTATTATACAATAAACAGAGAATATTGAAGATGACGTATGCAAAGTTATTATTTGCGTTTGGACTTTCCATGATTTTGTGAGTGTATTATCTTATTTTTAGTAATAATATCTTTATCCTTATATGTGGCTAATTACTGTACAATATTTGTAAATTATTACGAATTATTCAAATTTATTTCACTGTAATTTTGATCATAAAAACGAAAAATCTGTTGCAGAGCAAGTGAGGGTCAAACTAACGATTGGCTGTACGGATTCAACATGGATTTGAGCAAATTTCAACAACAAATACAACAAGGTGTTCAGAATTTACAGAAAAATATACAAAGTAGTGTAGCTAAGACTTTGGAAGATGTTGATAAAGTTACTTCGCAAATTCACGAGGATGTTGCAAAGGCTGCTAAAAATGGTAATTTGTTTATGCATTTTTATATAAAAAAATATTTTAATATGTACAATAATTATTATTTTGCATATTATTATGTATATTTTAATTAAAAAGCCTTTGTGTGTGCGCGCCAATTATATGAGCTATTTACATGCGAAGGTGATTAACTTCTTTTTAGAATTATGATTAGGGGTGTACAAAATTTTCTATCACTTTTATTTCAATTCTAACGAATGAAATTTATCGATTTTTCTTTCCCTCTTTTTCTTTTTATCAAAGTTAAATATACAGGATGTTCGAAAAGTCTCTTTATTGAACTAGAAAATTCTAAATTTATTATTTACCAAAGTTTTCTTTTGTAGAATATTTTCATTATACAGGATTACGTCAGGGCTATGTCAGGATTTTATTTTTAAAGAAACTTTTTTGTTCACTTGTATACTGTATTAGATATACCGTAGTTCTAGTTTTAAAAAATACCTGAAGCAATGGAAAGTAAACGAGAGTTAACAAAAAGTTGAATTTCGAATAATGGTAACTCCAATTGAATTAGTGACACTAAAATTGAATATAGTTCATAAATTGTTTAACAAATAATTAATTTTTTATGTACATATTAAGAAAAATTAGATGGGACACTAATTTAAGCCAACTTTGACTTATTTTGTAAATTGATAAAATAATTTTGACAGGTAGTTTCAATCAAACTTAGAAAATATAATATAAATAATATTAATATATTAAATAAAATTAATTAATTTACTAATTAATTTATATAGTAATTATAATATAATAAAATAAAAATAATAATTTAAAACTTTTATTTATTATTATAAAAAATAATGGAAGTTAACATATTTATATTACATAAAAGATCACTCGAATGTATGAACGGTAATCAATATTTTTCAATTGAATTTCAACAATAATCCTTAAATGGATTAAAAATAAAACCAGTTTGTATAATAAAATCAAAACGTAATTTTAAAAGTATTACTCACAAATTCAAAATTCAACAGAATTTATATTTTACGAATTGTACTTATATTAAAATTCACAGTTTATTAGATAATCATTTGAAAATGAATTCACAATCCTGAATACTATTGATCAATAATCTCGTTATCATAATGAAGATTCCATTTTAGGAGAATAAAAAATGAAAGAGATCCTTTCACTATCGACCAAGACCGCACGATCGATTCAAGGCTGTACAACGTGAACCGATCATTGGCGACCTCTTTTCTATCTTCGAACTTTGATAATATCAAAGAAATCTTGATTTAAAGTCAAGAACTTTTATTATCTACTTACCATGATTTTCTCGTAATATCCTGGAGGTGTCTGATATTCCTTATCGTTTGCCAAGATCTTTCTACGAATCAGAATTCTATGTGTGATTTATACCTTAATTCACGAGACTTGATATGGCTGACCGGTACTCATTGTCAGGCTTTATTGACCTTTTACTGGAAACGTTTCTAACCTTTGTTAACAACTATTTACGAGATCGCAATCGTCAAGTATAATAAGAGTAATTTCATACGATGATAGTAAATAATTATTTCTATTTATTAAGTCAGTATTTTTCATCAAAGATATTATATTAGTATTATGGAAAATACAAATAGGATGATAACAAAAATGTTTGGATAATTGAAGTGTTAGAATTAACTGAGACTAGTAAAAATGTTTAATTAACATAGATAGTAAAAGTAACCCTTTCGTTACAAATTAATTTTTATTATTTATAAAAGTTCGATATTATAAAGGAATTTTTGGACAATATATTTAATTTACGTAGAAGAATTTGCTTAGAAATAGAATAGTTTATAGAATATATAATAGAATAGTTTAATATAAAATATATAAATAATATAAATAATATAAAAAAAAATAGAATTATAATAGAATAGTTTAATATAAATTTAATATATTAATATTTTTTAATATAAATAATTAACATCTATTACAAATAATGATAAATAATTAGAAGAGATGGTAAGAATATGGGATACCCAATTTTTTTATATATAAAAGTCTCATAATAATAAATAAAAATTAAAAAACAAAGCAATTAAGGGAATAAGCCATACAAAAATTAATATACTTTTTAAAGATTACAATTGTCTGACTTCTTCTAAATTAAGGATAATAAAAAATCGAGTAAAAAAATAAAAAAGCATAAAACAAATTATAAAAGTGTTATTTAAGTATTAATAGAAGAAGAAAGCGTTTATTAACAAGACGAATTAAATCAAGCGTTTCTGCTTTCCAACAGAATACATAAATACGAGTAAAGCTTTCTGGGATGAAGTTATATTTTCCGATGAAAGCATATATACTAGTTTTAGTTCGGATAAACGATGTTACATATAAAGAAAATTTAATTTAGAAATGAAAGTTACAAAATGAAAGTTTTACTCTAGAATACCAGTACTTCTATAATGTTGTAAAAGCCCCATATATATTTGGGGTATTCCACGTTAAATCGACCATTTTTGACTCCTACCCCTCTTTCACCCCTAAATTGTTTAGTAAATAATTAATTTTTTTTTCTTTTCCAGGACATTATGACAGTGTCGTTAGTGTAGGTAATGGTGGTACATTTATTTCAAGTGGTGGTTCTGGTACAGTTATCAGTAATGGTCCTGGCACATCGAAAATTATAACGTCAGGAAATCTTCCAAATGGTGACCCATACATCCGTGAAATTGAGGAAAAAGTCATAGGCAAAGTTCTTTATCATACTGAGAGGTTCTACAATCAAAAGACAAAAAAGGACAAGAGAACTGGATATACTCTGGACCTTAATGATCCGAACGCTGAACCTGTCCCTTTAAACACTCGCTATTAATATTATCCTGACAAGGTTTCTAAATATGCCTGTAATTATGACATTCGATGTAATTAACAAAATTGAACAAATTCATTTGAAGATTTATTTTATATAATAAATTAGAAAATTAATTTTTTTTATTTAGATTAGTGTCTAAAGGTTTTTAACATTTTGTTTTATTTTTTTATTCAAAAATAATTTGTTTCGGGTAATACACAAAATATATAATCATTCTAATTATATTTCTAAAACCAAAATGTTGAATAAATATTGTACGATAGGATTTTATGGAATAATTAAATTTACGATTTTCTTTTGATCCATATTTATTAGAAATAGTCTAATTGAGTCCCACGAACCCAGAGCTGGGTAGTTCTGAGTTAGTTCATTGTCATAATTACTAGCATAAATAATTGTCTTACTTACCTTAAACCAGAAAGAGAAAGAGGAGTAAAAAAATTATTGTTATCCTTATAATATAATAAATACTTTTGGTTGTGCTTATATTATTAAAACGCAAAATAAAATAAAATAAAAACAGCTTATAATAAAAACTATTAATAATTAAACAGAGTGAAAAGATGTTATCTTTATGTTTATTCTTTTAAATAAAGAAAAAAAGAAAAAAAAAAGGATGACACCTTTGGTGCCATCCATTTTTTTAGAGGCGAAATACCACCAGAAAGCGAGCGGAGATTCACAGGACACTACACTACTTTTAACTTCTTAAAGTATTAGAAAACATTTCATTGTTTACATAAAACACCCCCTCAGGGGTTCTTTTCACTCGTTATTTGCATTAATCGCAGCGTAACGGTTAAACGCAGTATTAATTTAGAAGCTTCTTTTTTCAGTCTTTGCCCAGTTTAACAAGAGAAAGGCTGCGCAGATCCTTAACCCTCGTATCTTACTGGGATTTGATCCATTGAGGATCTTATGGTTAGATAGTCACAGGAGAGACAACGTCTCTACCACCTGAGCTATTCAGGGACTACCGGTCAGGCTATAAACAAATTGGAAATATAAGCTACCTCTTATTTATTATAAATAATTTTCTGTTTTTTTTGTTTAACAATAATAAACTTATTTTTTCAGTTGTAACAGGAAGAAATAAAAATATAAAAAAAATATATCTTTCTATTTAAATATAAATATATTTCAATAATTATATAAGATCAAAAATTTGATTAAGTGATTATTAAGTCCTTAAGAATAGAAACACAACTTCTTGGATTACTTTATTTTCTTTTAATATTTACTAATGTAATGTTTTAAATGGAGTATATTTGCTCTTTAATAGTTTATACAACAATTTTACTAGTGTGGAATACTTTGTGCTCGTAGAAGATGTTATGGTAATTCGATATTCTTTGATTAAAGTAATTACTTTTTTTTTATTTATTTTTATTAGCTTATTGTTGTTTTACCTGTAGTTTCTAAAATTTTTTTTATTGATCTTTCAAAATAGTTTTTTGTTCTGTAAATTGAATTGCAAATTGTACCATTAAATTGAATGCTATAGGATTTAAACTATCTATATAAGTTCTTAGTTTATCGTCACGGATTCCATTACAGAATTGTTGTCGTACTTTTATTTTTCGGGAATCGTTATGATTGCAATTATTGTATATTTTCAGTAAACAATCAACATAATTTTGTATCGTTTCTTTTTCATATTGATCTCGATACAAGAAACGTCTTCTATGTAAAGAATATGAACTAATTTTATTGGAAAAAGAAAAATAACGAAGATAATAGATTACAATTTCTTCGTATGAAAATTCGGTGAAGTTGACGTCAGGGAAAATATTCTTGATATGCTTGTGAATATTTTCATCCACCATATTAATGAATAATTTAACCATTTTATCATCTGGTACTTTGATCATATTTGCTACGTACTCAAATTTAATTAACTACGAATAAAAATTATTACCCGTTTGTTTGTAACAATTTATTGTTTCAAGTGCTCTTAATTGATAACAAGTTATTTGATTATCTTCGTGTAATAAATTCTCGTTGCTCATTGTTTCTAAAACGTATTTTAAATGTTGCTTTTTCTGATTTTTCGTTGTTGTTGCTTTTACCAATAATCTTTTAATACACTTTTTATTAAATAATTTGAAACACTTTTCTTTTCGGAACACGTATACCATTTTAAATTTCTATATTTTTCTTTTTTTACATTTATATATAAGTGAAGAATTTAAGTGATGGAATGTATATTAAAATTTTTTCTTTTAAAATATAAAATTAACGAAAATAAATATTAAAAACTTCACATAATATTATAAGGGTGTATCAAAGGTTCAATATCATTCAAATGGTGAGGTTTACGGGAAAAATATAAGATACCTTTTTTGTAGAGCATTAAATTTCCTACAAAATTCTTCCCGAACATTTTTCTGTACAATCAATTAATGACGAGGTATGAATTTTATTCTATTGGACTGAGAAAAAAATAAAAAACTGCGATGCGGAGGATTTTCCTATTAAAATTAAGAGCTCATATTTGGTGAGAATTTTTTTAAGGTGTCTAGCAACCCATTTTTCCGTGGCACTTGTAAAAAAAAAATAATTGATTTTTTTGACCCACCCTAATATATATATATATGGGAAATTCCACGTTAAATCGGTTACTTTTGACCCCGACCCCTTTCGATTTGGCTAAAAGTTTTTTATTCTATGCTACCCTATGAGAAACAATTTTCAAAATTTTTTCAAATTTTTTTACCAAACCCAATAAAAAATTTTAATTTTTGAAAAAAATGGCTCTTTTCTTTGAAATGGCTATAACTTCTTTAAAATTCAACCTATTGGAACGTTTTTTTTAAATATTTGTTTTTAAATGTACTTTTCAGAAAAAAATACAAAAAAATTTCAAAATTATAAAATCCATGAAATTTTCGTATTTTTGAGAAAAACCGTTATTTTCTCGAAGTTCGCCATTTAAAAATTTTTTTTATTTTCTAGAAAAAAATTTTGTCTAAATCCGCGATTATCCCCACCAGTCCCAGAGTAAGCTGAGTTAGTTTCCTATTTTTTTTATTTAATTGAAAAAAAATTTTTTATTTATTTTTTTTTAAATTAAATTAATGCAATTACATAATTTTACAATATTTATACTTAATTTATAGTCTCAAAATACAAAGTTTAAAAAAAAAATTCAACCTTTCGTTTTTTGCTGTAAGAATATGATGGAATTATTACGTCATTTTTATGTCAGAACAAATGACTTTATATTGAGGTCATAAATAAGTCACCATTCCGTCATGTCTACAAAAAAATTTGAAGATCACTGTATGACATACGTAAGACATCATTTTAAGGTCATGTGTTCACTGGGATTTAATTCATATGTTATATATGTAATTATATAATATTATAATTTATACAATATAATATATATTATATTTTATATATTTTATATATTTGTATTTTTATTATATTATCTATTATATAGATATTTATATATAATATCTATATAAAATATATAAACTGTATAAAATCTAAAAAAATCTAATATAATAATTACAAATTTATTTATTTTAAATTTTTTTATATAAATTTCAAAATTTCTATTATAGAATTTTTTTTTTTTAATACTCGGATTACTTTACTTTTAATCCAATCAAAGTTTGTCGACTTAAATCTTCAAATCTATGAAAAACTAAAATTTCAAAAGATAAAAAAACTTGAAGCAATAAAAAGAAATAAAAATTACAATTGTAAAACTAAAAGTTTAAGTAGATAAGAGAAAGAAAGAAAGAAAGAAAAAAAATAAAATACTGGGATAAATTATCCTTCTAATTAGGGATTCCGTTCTCATAAATATGCATGTGGCTTTTGGCATGGTCGAAGCACCACTGTCGGTTAAAGGTTCGAAGACGTGAGAAAAGACGTCGAGAGGTAAGGGGTGCCGGACGTAAATTTGTAAAAAGGAGAGAAGGGCCGAGGTAATAAAGAATGGCGCGTCGCCAGGTGGAACGATGTGCAAATTACAAGAGGGGGGTATTACAACGAGATCTCCTTTCGATGGGACGCGAAAACAAGACCGGCTAAGTTTTTCAAATGCAGACATTATGCACTTAAAACAAATGAGCGTGAAACCATGGGCGTAGTTTTAATGAATTAAACTATACCAAGCTAATTTTATTAATTATTTTTCACCTAATATATTTTTAAGGTAACAAAAAAGAAAGGGTTTCAAAATTTAAGGGATTATAGTTGGCTAGATTTTATTAATTTTTATTTATATATTATTTCAATCCAATAGAATATAATTTAATTATTAAATGTATAAATTATTTAATATAAATATTTATATATATATTTAATAATATATTTATTAATTTATTTTATATATAATATATAATATTATATTAATTTATTATATTATATTACATAATATAATAAATTTTTATATATATAATAATACTATATTAATTAGTATTTTGAATTAAATATTAATAAAGTTAGTTAGGAAATATTAGTATTCCTAATTACACAAATACAAATACAAATAATAAATGTGAAGATGCTTCACGTATATATATTTTTATCAAAGCGACCCAAATTACCCATCCATCTTCAAAAATTTATGTATTTTACTATTTATATATAAAACAAAATTTATGCACTACAACAAAGACCATTTAAATTAAAAGTGAGATGTAACATTAATAAGTTTTTATAATGTTTTATAAATCTTGTCACGAACAATAAGTATAAAAAGGTTTAACACCCACAATTACGGTAGGTGTTAACATTAAGCTCGCTGTTTCATTATAATTCATTTAATTTTCTACTTTTATTTATTTGGACAGTATTTGTAAATATTTATTATCACGTTCTATAAAATAAATGTTAATTATTGTATATACATAATTATCTCTTCAATATAAATAATATTCATAAGTATTATAAATAGATGGTCAATATTCTTAATATAAACAAGATTGCGTCATAATCGCTTTAGGATTATGTTAGGGATAAAACAGAATTACGTCAGAGTTGCGACAGTGTTACTCATCAATATATACTATATATTATATTGATTTTTTGTTATTAATACTAACAGTATTTTTTTACTAATCGATATAAATATTAATATTCAATTACAATATTTAATTATTAGGAT